TAAAACCTAGTATCAGGCCTGCAGTGTCACCAGCAGAGTGGAATGAATAGAGACAAAAAAAGTCCCGAAGCATTAAATCCAGCCTTTGCACCATCTGAATTTTGTCAGCTCACTCATGCGAAGCCGACCTGACCACCCTGTAAAAGAGCAGGCATGCTTGTCAGGTTATTGAGTCCTGGTTGAGTCAAGCTTACAGTGCAATCAGCTCCAAATATCAAGTCAGGGTCAAGCACATGTTCCTCCATGCTGAGGCAGAGAGCTGTATTTCAAGACATTTGTGTTTTAATCAGGGCTAAGTTGGAGCTCCTGGAACCAGCCTGTGTGAACACCAGCAGCTCTTTCAGAAGCAGACAGGTTGTTTGCTCCTTTGACAGGGTTTATTTAGAGTTTATAGTATCACCGTGAGAACAGCAGGGGTCACAGTCTGGTTTATTAATGAATGTGGGTTTTATGTACGTTCCATTGGGGGCATAATGTGCAGTATTTTACAGACAACACAAGAAAGGAAAGCTGCCGAAACACATTCAGGTCTTCACTGAAACCAAGCAAACAGAGAAAAAATAGTATCAGCTGCAGCTATAGTGGATCCCAGTGAAATCATATATCCTGCAATCCTTTATACAGAGGAAGGATCAGAGTATGGGAGATTTATTGTTTCATTACTTTTCATTAAATGCATCTGCTCTCAAGCGAAGACCACACTTTTGTCTGCTGGCAATGGAGCGAGGAACGATAGAAAGATAAAGTGTTCCAAAAGCTCTGATCTCAGATCAACTTGTAAGTTGATCTAATAACTGTACTCTATAAATTAACAGAGACTCCCTAAAGATTTCAAATAAAAGGCATAAATTGCACATGCAATTTTCTTTTGTGGTACATCCAGTAAATAGGTGTGTTGCGGGGGATTTACAAAGACGGGTGCTCAAATATCAAGACAGGAAAACCGATTTAGTTCCTGCCATTAAAATGAACAGATTGGGCGTTCCACTGGCAGTTTGAGTGTGGCTGTAAAAGAAAGATGAGATTCTAATACATGGAGAAAATAATAACTACCGTATTTTCACGACTATAAGGCGCACTTAAACGTCTTTTTTTCCCCTCAAAATGTGCGGTGCGCCCTTTGGTGCGGTGCGCCTTATGTGTGTTGTAACTGCGACTTTTGAGACCACCTCATTGAGGAGATGATGAAAGAGTGGCTGAATGTAAGGAGACCAGGTGTTTTTTTTCCACTCATCACCATCGCTGTTAATATGTAACTCCATGCGTGCCCATCTCACAGCTGATGTGAAAAACATTGGGAAACAAATTAACGCTGTGCTCGCCGTTCAACCGCTGGACAACGGTGTGCACCGGACCCAGCAGGTGCAGCAGAAGAAGCGAGTTTACATGCGAAGTCAATGGTTGACGCGCGTATAGACGCAGCAAAAGGTCCCGCAGCGCGTTTTGAGCAGCAGGTGCAGCGCGTCGGGAGCGCGCCGCCAACGCGCTACTGCTGCTCGAGATGGAAAAATTGAAGTTTTGCTGCTGGACGCGCCGCATCAACCAATCAGAGAAGCTGATCTGGGAGCTGACAGCGAGACAGACACAGCGCTCTGATGACATAATTATATTAACACAAATGATAAAGGCTGGATGGATGAGGAGATGATGAAAGCGTGGCTGAGGCAGGTGTATGTGAGGAGACCAGGTGGTTTTTTCCACGCATCACCATCGCTGCGTGCCCATCTCACAGCCGATGTGAAAAAAAAGGTGAATCAAATGAACGCTGTGCTCGCCGTTATCCTGGGGGTCTGACAAAGGAACCCTCACCGCTCGACATCGGTGTGAAGCGGCCGTTCAAAGTAAGGCTGCGAGCGGCGTGGGAGCGATGGATGACAGACGGAGACCACAGTTTCAGGATAAGTGGAACGCAGCGCCGGGCAAGGTACCCCACCGTTTGCGGATGGATTGTAGATGCTTGGACTAACGTGTCTGCTGGCTCTGTTGTTCAAGCTTTCGCAAAAGCCGGCATTATTTCTGAGGAGCCGCCCGGCACGGAAAGTGACTCTGACAACGAAGAAGGGGAAATTGGCTTGTCTGATTTAGTGCAGCTGTTTAATTCAGAAACAGAGGATGATGACTTTGATGGGTTTGATTAATACTTTGTAATAAATACATGAATAAAGCACATTCATACTCAGTTTTGCTCCCGCTCTATTTTTCTACCTGAAAACTTAATTCAACAGCAGCCTCTGGGCGGGTCTCCTCCTCTTCACCGCGGTGGCTGGCAGGTGTTTTTTCATCTAAATAATCTAAATCTTGCAGCTATATTTGCTGTGATCAGTGGGAATAAAGTAGTTTTAATATGTTTTAAGTGAGAAAGTCCACCTGAAAACTTAATAATTGCAGTCAGTTCATCCAGATTATTATCCTGCCTATACTATTTCTGTCAGAGGCGCTCAGACCCCCACATACCAGCGGTGCGCCGACAGTAGAAATCCCTTCAACAGCAGCCTCACCGCGGCAGCTGGCAGGTGTTTTTCATCTAAATAATTTAAACTGCAGGCACCAGGATACCGGTAATAAAAGCGAACATATTCCGTCGGCAGATTTCAGGATTTTAAGTTAATTTAGGAGTGATCACAGTGCTCTGTCATCTGCGATGTGTCTGTCTCACGGCCAGCTCCCAGGTTTGATTAATACTTTGTAATAAATACATGAATAAAGCACAGTCATACTCAGTTTTCCCCCCGCTGTATTTTTAAATACGCAGTAGAGGTATTTAAAGGTAGTAGAGGACATGCACCTGTATATAAAAAACGCGCCCTATAGTCCGGTGCGCCTTATGTGTGTGTTAAATACAGAAATGGGACACATAACTGAGACTGCGCCTTTTAGTACGGTGCGCCTTATGGTCGTGAAAATACGGTATCTAAAAAAAAAAATGTTACCAAATAATATTCATGGTACACCTCATAGACTGTCTCACAGTGCTACGAACAAAGGAGAAAAAAAAGTTTATCTTTGTTGTGCAGAGAATTCCCCCCCCCCCCACAATATTTTTCAGCATTTTTTTTCTCTATTTGGTTTAATTGCATAAAGATGCCGTGCTGCCCTGCTGCATTACTTTACCAGGGAGTCTGCCTTTTATATCAATATCAGTCAACTTTATTTCAGACGGTCCAACTATGTTTACACGACCAAAGATTACATCCTTTGGTATCATACCATTACCTTCTCTGTGGAATCAATGATCACAGATATTTTTGATTATCCATTTGCACCTGACTTTCAGAGAAACAGAAAAAAAGCAAAAACTACAGCCGTAGTTGAATTTCCAATTGCAAAATGTCTTTGCATGTGGTAAATATTCTCATTTACGTATCTTCCATCGGTAAACTGTGTTCAGCATACTGATGAAGGCACACTCGCAAAGAAACTGGTTTGCATTAGCTATACGCTGATTTGATAACCCAAAAAATCACTTCTTTGCTTGTCTAAACAGGTTTGCACCTGTTTTAAGACAAAGAAATCCTCTGAAAATCCGACCCTTAAAGCCTAATAATTATTTTAGCAGTTGTTCCAGATAAATTCCTCCTATTTTTCTCTCATTTGATTTTGTGTTTCTTCGGTTTCAGAGGTTGAGCGGTGAAGCTGGAATATTCTCAGCCTGTAATCAATTCTTAATGGATTTTTAATCAGAAAGCTTCTTGGTATCTACCTTCTGAAGCTGTTCTCAGGACTTGGTACAGTAACCTATGAGGGAGACCGCTGATATCTTTTAAAGGTCTACTTGCCACAGCAGTCGCAAACAATCTGATTTTTAAAGAAGGAAACACTCTGATTCAAACGCCTCCCTGATTTCCATCTCTGGCTGCTGCTGTCTGGTTTCTCTGCTGTTTCCACCCACTCAACCAAAGTAGCCATGCAACCTTGTGGGTCTCTCTGTTGTGCATCAGCCTGGGAAATAAAAGGGATGGTTGTGAACCTTGAGCGGTGATAAAAAGAAATATTTTAGAGCCACTTGAGACAGTGGCAAAAAGATGGAAAAAATACTGTAGAGACTTATTCACAAAATAGGTGCAAATATGAGACAGAACAACAGCATCCATTTACAGATTTAGCACCACGCAGACTATTCATACCACTCGATAATATAAAGAGAAATATAAGGAGAAAATTGGCCTCTTCACAGTTTATGCCCCAAAATCTATTATTTCTAAGATGAATGTGGGTAATTTAATCTCAGTAGCTGTTCCTTGCGGTCCAGGTAAACTAAAACTCCCATCAAAGAGGGCATTTAATCTGAAATGAATCTGGAGGAGCTGCTAATATCTATAGAATATGTGGAGGATTCACTAAGAAGAAGGAAGGAAAGACGTCCTCAGATTAAATAAAAACCTTAATCTTTCACAGCCTCCATACAAAATTTGGAAATACATGCTATGTGGATGTTTTGTTTTTAGTACGGGAGCTGCTACAAGGCTACAAAAGGCCATCTACCAAAGAATAGCAATCAGCCTTAGATCTAAATCATCTATTTAATTTTTTATGAAACATTTTAAAACCTGAAGACTCGTCACTTCAATCACTATAAGCATAAAATGTACAGGAGCCAGTTTGGTGCAATTAAACCTTGAGTACCTCTTAAAAGGACTGTTGTAGTCCATGTCCTTACTTTGTCCATCTCATGGTCCTGTGGTTTGTGTAACACTGTAAAGGATGATTTGCATTTAAACTTATATATTGTTTTTTTTTTCCTTCATCTCAATCTGCCCTTCTTTACACTGGTGAAGGTTGCAGCTGCTGTTGAACCTATATCCCTAATATTTTTGTCTGTGCAGCTGTACTGTGTGACTTCTCTCTCTGCATTGGTCGGTGCTTGTGTTGTCATTGATGTTTTTGTTTTGTTTTTGCCTCATTAGATAGCATGCTGCCCTGTCTATTCGAACCCCGGCGCTGTTCTTCAGATGATGCGGCTCTGTTTACCACCTGACCCAGCCTCTGCTCTTTTCCTTTAGGCTAGCCACACTGGTATGCGCTCATACATTTACAAGCAGAGCTCTGTGATTGGCTCGCAGGCAGAGCACACTGGGATGAGAACGTATTACTTCAGCGCTGACACCCAGGAGGACATGAGTATATGGCTGAAGGCCATGAACCAGGCTGCGCTGATGCAGAACCACCCCGACACACTCAGGTAGGCCTTTGCAACAAATATATTCAAGCAAACATAACTGAAATTATATTACATTCTAGTATCACAGCTGTTAACAATGTAGTAATCAGTCAGTGGGCCTAGATAAAGGGCTAAAGGTAGGCTCTGTGTTGTTTGGTGAGTGGTGTGTACCACACTCAACATGTATCAGAGGAAGCAAAGGAAAGAGTTTTCTCAGGAGAAAATTATGGACAAGCGTGTTAAAGGTAAAGGATATGAGACAATCCCCAAGCTGCTTATGTTGCCTTATTATTCAGAAATATAAAGAGACATTATCTAAGTTTTTACTAAAAATATCCTTAAAAATTGCCTTTTTCTTTGATCTGTCCTTTGATGAGCAGACTGACACCTCAGAAGTTCAGCGCCGATGCAACTATAAGCAACAGATGTGACATGAAGTGCAACCATGTTGAATGGAACCAACCTAGCAACCAATCATAGCGTTATATTATATATATTCACTGTGTATTTTGTGGCTAATCAGAAATGACAGGCATCCAGCCCAACTCAGACACTGATGGCGACTCTATATAAGGTGAAAAAAGGTTTAAAAAATTGTTAAGTATGAGGGCGTGCTATGACAATGAGTAAAAAAAGGGCTGCAGTTCTCTGTTTCGGCCACAGAGGGCAGTATAATTAGAATACTATGCAATGCCTTTTAGATCCATGGATTGTAGCCATCCTTCCTGGAGGTGGCTGTAGGATACAAATTGGTAACAAATTAAAGGGACAGATAATAGAAATTACAACCAAATTGTCCAGAAAAACTTTTAGAGCGATTAACGGTGAACTTCTAGCTCAAGAAATATCAGTCAGATTGCACTATCCGTTTTCGTTTGAGCTAAAGTGGACTTAATGGGAGACCACCAAGTAGAACAAAACTGTGGAAAATGAATAATACAAACGAAAAAAGGGAAATTTATCAAACTAAATGTTGACTAGCCAGAAAGCTTCTAGGTGAATGTCCTATGGCCAAATGAGACAAATGGATTTACTCACAAAGGCTCATCAGCCTTATGTTCACACACAGAAAAATGAAGCATATCAAGAAAACAACCTGTGAAACATGGGGGAGGCTCTGTTATGTTCTGGGACTGCTTTCATCTAGAACAGGGTGTCTGATTCTCTGCAGGGTTCAATGGAATCTCATGAAGGATTCCAGAATTACTAAACACACAGATCCAATAATGGCTAAGAGAAAAACATCAGACTATTCTGAAGAGGCCTTCTATGAATCCTGACCTTAATCATACTGAGCATCATTAAATGGAAAAGGAGCAGAGACATGTCGTCAGGAAAAGGCTCCCTTCAAACCTGATATAACAGGAGCAGCTTCTCATGAGGAGTGGAAACAAAACACCTGCTGAGAGGAGCAGAAGTCTCACTGGGGGTAACAGCAATCGCTTATAGCCGTAATTCCCTCAAAAGGCTGGGCAACAAAATAATAAGTTAAGAGGACCTAAATTTTAGACCTTTTTCATTAGTTTATGTTCTGAAAGCATTCTGTTAAAGGATGTCTGAAAATAAAGTCATTTCTGTGACCATTGTGGGTTTTTATTTCATAAATGAGGGGCACCAACAAATGTTTAGGTATCTACAAAGATAAAATTATTTCAACCTTACATTAAGTGTTCAAAACACACAACAGAAATGTATTATTTATCAAAAAAAGATGAATATTATTTTACTCAAAATTAGGGTTGAGGTTTCAAGAATCTAATTGCTGATATAAGAAAAAGAAACAAAAAAAAAAACACTTTTTTTTTTGCTGCTGTCAGAATTACATGACTGAGTTATATTAACTCTCAGCAGCATAATAATAAAGTAAAATTAGTCAATGACAGCTGTAAGAGGACAGGAATATCCTTTTTATTTTATCAAATTATGGTGATATGAATCCACTTTTAGTATTTAACTAAAAGAGTCAGCTCAGAGTTGGAAAAATAATTTTTTTACACAGCCCAACCCTGAATGATTCAGTAGCTGGAAGGAGCATCTTTGCTGAAAAAGATAGCATAGGTCAATCGATTCTTAAAATTTTCTTTCTAATATTCAAATCAAATTTCTGGAAAAGGTTTAAGGTCCAAAACAAATTACCATGAGGAAATCTTTTGTTTTTCCTGCTTACTGCGCACTGTGCACCGATTGGCTGCAGTAAGGGAGTTAAAATTTCTCAAATGATGAAAAAGCTAGACAGAAAATCTATTATTATCATAATAATGTTACCTTTATTAACTCAGATACTTGGTATGCTTTAAAGAATAAAGTGAAATTCTTTAGTGTGATGGCCAAAGATTAACATAAAAGAAACTAAGGGGAAATTCAGGCATGCACAGAAACTGTTATATAAGCTGCAGGTCTTAACTTAGCCTCAATCTTTCATTTTAATATAATTTAAAATTGTTTGAAAAAATCAACCCAGATAGTTCACAATGTTCAGGAAGGTTTAAAAAGATAGTTTATTCATATTAATTTCCTCCTTGCATTCTTGTGCTTTTACTTCTGACGTGGCAGCAGTTATCTTAACAAAGAACGGTATTTTTTATTAGACTGTTTTATGTCCTGGCTATGAAAGTCCAATAAAAAAGTCATTTATCTTAATGACAGTAGATCTCTAAAAATCATAGGCACACCGGTTCCATTTATTAGCTTAGTTAATCTGCTAAACAGCATACAAACCGTCAATCATATTTTCTAAGATTAAAATGCAACAGGGTAAAAATAGTTGAAGTATTAGAAATCTTAATAATAATAATTTAGCTTTCCTTGTAATCTTTTCCACGGCTGCCTGATGCAACCGAATTGACCTAATCATGAACCATACATACCTTTAATTACTTATTTTGTAGTGTGCAATGTTAACAAAGGCTCGATCAAGTGATATTGCTCAAACAGAGACCAGTAGACTATAGAAACCTTTTTTGCTGAATGACTGAGAAAATCCTTGTCGGGCGCTCAGAGTTGTTCAGCGGTTAGCGAGTTTCACCATCTGCCCTAGAAACTGTGTGCAGGTGAGCGTTGCTTTCCATCACTGCGCCATAAGGCTGAGCTTTTCTGGTTGGTTGATGTGGCATGCCTTCAATAGCTCAGATATCCCAACTCCTGCTGCTTTGAACGTTGGAAATGGCAACACTCGCTGCATTAGATACTGTAACACACCACAGGATATCTCAGCTTCCCAAGAAACACGTACACTATGCACACTTTACATGAAAACCAAACGCAGCTGACATTTTAATCGTATTTTGGGCTGAACATACCATTACTTTTGGTTTCTTTGCAGCCGTTGGACAAACACTCCCCTTCAGTCTCTTTAAGTGTTCAAACTCTCATAGAAGTCAATATTAAACAGCCTTAGTTAACATGCATGACTTCTTTATTTTCCACTCTGTCTGACTTTGCTCTCTGCTTGTTTTGTACTTGGCTGGTTTGGGAAGTTGCCTTCAGATGATGGTGTTTTTGAAGCAAAAAGCGTCTCTCTCCATGTAATATTAATGCGTCAGCAATGGGAGGTAGCGCAGATCAAATACGTGCAGTCTCTCACTGGCAGGCTCAGCTCTCACTGCCCCCTCGCTTACCCCTATCCTTTCTCATTAAACTGTTCTTACAAGAGGGAATCCCACAACGCTTCTTTGCCTGGTTCTGAATGACAGAAAGAAAAGCGAGCTCCAGACAGCTTCCAGCTGGGAATTCTTTTAAAGCTCCCTCACTTGCTTTGTGTTTTTCATCGCAGAGGCTAGGACAGGAGCATGCATGCTGTCTGGCATTTTGTTTCTGTTTTTAAATGAAGTTTATTATGTAAAATGAATATTGACAGAATGCGAAAGCAGTAGCAAAATACTTTGAAGCTAATATCAAATGGGGTTAAGTCATTCAGCAGTTTGCTGGTTTCCCTGATCTACTTTTAGATATTAGCTGCAGGGAATGAGAATCTTAGCACCTCAGGCTTCTTATTGTTATGCAAGGTTGCTTTCATGACAGAAACCTAAATAGTTCTCAAGGCTCTTCTACGTTGGGTTTTATTAATCAGTTTATCTCAGCTTGTGTCTTCAAGGCTGTGCTTGTCACTGGTGCTTTAAAAAACCCCAGATGTGCACAGTGCATTTAGTCCTGTTTAAAGTCTGTTCAGGACAACAGAACGAAGACCCAAACGTGCTGATTATTGGAACATGATGTTCTGTTTGGTAAAATTATGATAATTGAGAAGCTTTTAGGAATAAATAATTTTTGGAGCAGAGATGCTGGGGAACAAACGTAGCTTTTTTTAAATAAATTATGGTATGTAGGTAATTGTGGATCATAAGTATTTGTACAATACAACTGTATATTTAAAGTTGCAGAGAGAAATAAAATAGGAATTTTGTAAATTTAAACCTTTTTCTCAACAGATTTACATTTACAAAAAAGAGCAACACCTCTTTGAAATTGCTTATAAAGGAGGTTTGCTTCCTTCCAAACTGTCAAAACAAATTGTCCTTCACGCAAGAAGAAAATCAGTCCGAGGGCAGAGACGCTTCTATAATAATAATTGAACTTTATTGATCTCACATTGGAGAAATTTAACTATGCCTTTAACACATCCTTTTGAGGATCAGTGGGCTGCCATCGTGTGCAATCAGGGTTTTTAAGGGTGTTGTTTAGAGATCCAGAGTACAATCTGTGGGAGTGGGTTTCGAACTCACAACCTTAGGATTCCAAATTCTATGCCCTAACCACTAGGCTGCCACTTTTGAGAACATGCAGTGCATCGTGCACTTAGTAAGATCCCGAAGCACAATCCCAAGCCCGCGTCAGAGGAGCTGCCGCATGCGAAGACCAATTTTCTTCTCTCAAACCGACAGTTTCTCGTGTTTGTGTGATTTTGTTGTGTGGTGGTAGATAAACCATGTGCATAAGTAATTTAACATACATGTAAGTATGTTAATTTTGCTCGCGGATGCTTTGAAATAGATGTGACACCATAGACTTGGAGGAAACGAGAATATAAGTTCTTCTGGTTTGCTGCATTTTTATCACACTGACTGAAAACCACAAACCAGGTATAAGAAAAAAAGATCATTTATTCCAAAAGGGAAGGTTCTCTTTGAAATAGTTTTATTTTGTTTTCATTTGTTTTTAGAAAGAGGCAAATGTTTAATTTTATGTCACGCTGCGCCACAGAGATACAGCCATGCATTTGGGGCGTAACTGTGTTGCCTTAGCAAAGGCTGCCTTCTTTTTCTGTTGGAGGGATTCCCATTCTTTTCTCGCCTTCCTCAGCTGAGTTACACTTGATAGTTAAGTGTTAATGTTTAGGGAGTGGTTTGTGATTCGACCGTAGCCTTCCATCTAATACTTCTGGATTTTTTTTTGAGTCTGACGCTGAAGCTGTCAATACTCACTGCTGCCACCTTCTGGTTTAGGGGTTAACTGCATGTTCCGATTAAAAATGTAAAAAAAATAATAACTTTTGCGAGATTCAAGTTATATCTGACCATTGTGGGTTTTTTTTTCATTAAAAGAGGTGTATTAACAACTTTTTTCATAATGTGTGCATTTCATTTGTGGCTTAAGGTTACAATTGTTTGGCTTCCTCATTTATGTACAAAAATGAACATTTGACCGAAGCTAACTGTTATTTGAATTGTCTCCAGCTGTAACTCTGTGTCTCAGCACTGATATGACAGTCAGGGGACAACCAAATGGGGAATGTAGAGGGTTACACAGACAGTTGGTAAAAATATTTAACTAAGAAAAAGGGACTTTTTTTTTTCCAATCAAAAATCTGAAAAGCGTGGTAAGCTTTTGTCTTTAGATTTATTCCATCATTAAATCCAGTGACTGCCTTTATAGTAACCTAACTCTTAATGGAGATCCACTCTGTGCATAAATCTAGATGTTCTGTGATTGCTTTAGAGGGACAAAGTTTCTATGGTAAATGCGCCGTAAAATGACGAAACAAGCTGCAAAAACATGCATGATGCAATCTCCAAAACAAACAAGCACAAAAGGCAAATCTAAAAGAAATACACTGCAAACAGAAAGTGCTGAAATCATTAAAATAGAAGCTAAACAATGCAATGAACAAAACAAATCCAAACAAAAAAATTCTGCAATCACAGAGAAAACATGGTATAAATGGTAAAAACTGCTGCAAACTCACTCTAAAAAACGGAAGTGCTCCAAACCACTCGAGGGAGTTGAACAAACCCTATCTGAAGAGTGTTATATCACTAAACATGGCTATGTGTTTTACAATGAAATGAAATATAGCAACCCTCTCCTTTCTTCTTCCAACTTTTGTTTTTTTTCCAAGTCCTGTGTTAAAGCTGAACTTCCTGGTTATAGTCAGGGTTTGTTTCAATATGGAATGTTTGTTTTTCTGACGACCCCCTAGTGGTCTGGAGCATTTCCTTTTTTTAGAGCAAGTTTGCTGCTGTCCTTACCGTTTGATTAATTTTCTTTCTGTGGTACAGCATTTAGTTTTTTCTTGCAGCATGTTATTTGCAGTTGCTGTTTGTTTAATGTAGTTTTTGATTGCAGTATTCTTTTATTTTCAGTGTTTTTCTGTTGCATTAGTTTTTTTGTAGTTGCATGTGTTGGAATTTGCATCACAAATGTTTTTGGAGCTCATTTTGTTGTCTGTAAGAGTTTCAAAGCAGTAAAAGTTTTTTTTTTCCTGTTGTGTCTTTATTTACAGACCTACTGAGAACAACAGGTTGTTGCAACAGGCTGTTCCACAGACGAACAACGTGAACCACAAGAAGACCAAGAATTTAGACTCTGAGAACACAAACACAATAGTCCACGAAGTTCTGCTGGACCCCATGCATCACAACACGGATGAGCTTTGCAGCTTTCACAAAGACACAGGTGTTATTACGCTGGAGCGTCCCGTAGGAAGCTCTGCTCTGGAAATGGACACACAGAGCTCCCTCCCATCCAGCCTGCCGCCAATGTCGGACCACATGTCCACCTCTGCGCCCGTGTCCAGGGTGCCATCCCATGCTCCGTCGCGAGCCACATCCACGCTGCCATCCAGCCTTACGAGGAACGGGCTGGTCTCCACTCCCAGCCCCATATTGGAGCCCAACGGCATCGCGGCGGGGACGTACCAGAGGGTGCCGGAGCCAGCGGCGTCTGACGCCTTCGTTCATGTGAAGAGGAGAAACACCCTGGAGCAGGTGGAGCAGTGGGTTAAAGTCCAGAAGGCTGAGCAGAGGGGGTAGGTCACTGTAGCAACAGCTTCTGCATACAACGACTCACAATGATTACTGTTTCCAGGAGAAATCTTATCTGTCTCTTTCTTATTAACAGCCCCCCCTCCAGAGAGAACACCCTCCCCCGTCGAACGCCACCAACCCAGCACAAGTACACATCAATGGATGCCTATCAGACATTGCCAAAAGCTCCACGCCATAGCCCCCAGCCCGGCCGACTCAGTGAGTACAAGTACGCCCACGACCGCCTGAACCACTTCCGCCTCACCCCAGACCGGGGGGCCCAGGGGTCCAACACTGTGCTGCAGCTGTATGAATGGCAGCAGCGCCAGCAGTTTCGCCACGGGAGCCCCACCGCGCCGATCTATACCCCCGCTCCGGACTACCCCTTTGGCCCCCGCCCTTCTTCCACTGTCCCCCTCTCCTCCTCGTTACGCAGGCCAGAGGGGGCTCCCCGCTGCGTGTCGGTGCCGCCTTCAGCCGCAGACATCCCTCCACCAGGGCCTCCTCCTGGAACCAGCAGAACACTGTCGCCCAATCGAAGGCCTCATACTCCTGCCGGACGTGTGACGGTGAGGCCCGCGGGAGAAATGCCGGCTCTGAACATCCCCTTCAACGTGTCCCCCCGCAGAAGCAAATCTCAGATGCTGAAGGTAAAATGAGACCAAACACAATCAGAAGCACATTCACGCACCTGCTGTAGATGGTAGAAGATGCTTCTATATTTGGTTGTCATACATTGAAGAACAAAGCATAGATCCAAAGTATTCATACCCCTGAAACTGTTTGATATTTTGTTACTGTACAAAACAAACTCTTATTTGGGATTTTATGCCAGCATGAGACAAAAATATATATATATATTTTTTACTACTGCATTCATCTACTGCATTGTAGAACCACTTTTCTTTGTTGTTCGACCTTCCAGTCATTTTAGTCCCTTTTTCTTTTTGGAAAAACAGATAAAACTTGTTCAGATTTATTGGGAACCTTCATTCTCTACTCAAGTCCTTAGGCTTGTTGACCAACAAATGTACCTGTCATCATTATTACATTAAAATAATATCAATATATTCCCATTCTGCCATTCATACAGTCCATTTTCTAAAGCAACGTTTGTTCACTTAGACTTTATCATTTTTCCTGTTTTATTCACATATTTAACTTGTGCTGACAGTAAATCGGTCTCTGACTCTGTAGCTCTAATTCTACCTAACATGCATGTTTTTGTGTTGCAGGCTGCTACTAATGAGAGACGCTCAATGCCTCCAACTGGCTACATCACTCACACAGTCAGTGCACCCAGCCTTCATGGGAAGACGGTACATTTATCATTACATACCCTCTTTATACATGCGTGATGTTATAGGCCGGGTGGTGGAGGTTCTCGTTACTGTCAGCTGAGGAGCTTAATGATCAAATAGGGATTCATTTCCACATAACACTGATCAGTTGGTTCAGTTTCCCCAGGATATCTTTTAGGGAGTAAAAAGCTCCCTGCTCGCCTGTCGAGTCAACTTTGTGTGTGTTAGCTGTTTGGTTTCAGCCTCATTAATCTTTAATTAAGCCACAGTTTGGCTCGTTGTGATCAGCTAAAGTCAGAAAACATATTAGCTCCAGGGCTCTGGAATCAAAGTAACTTGTTTAAGGGTGTGGGTCAGTGTTAAAACCTGCTGGACTGAGTTCTCCTGTTCCCCTAACTCCCCTCCCCCCCTGATAGCCAGAGGAGCTTACCCTGCTCCTCATTCAGCTGCGCCGCCATCAGGCCAAGATGGCCTCCGTACGCCAGCAGACCCTAGCTCAGCTCGAGAGGCTGCGCGCTCCCAGAGAGTCCTACCATCAAAACCAGCTCCTCTCTACAGCTCCTACTGGGGACAGCCCCCTGCTCCTCAGCGCCACCCCGTCTCCTGAGTCACACCTCGGAGACGTTGGCCTTTTAGCTCCGCTGGGCCCTTGCAGCACCCAGGTGGGGCCCCGAGAGGCATGGCTACCCCGGTATTGTCGACTGGTAGAGGCTGCCACTAAATGTTCGTTCAGAAGCTGTAAAAGGCATTGTGTGGTAGACAGGCAACACACACACCTGAATATGGTAGGAATAAACATGGTGGTGGCACCATCATGGGTGGGAAGTCGGAAAATGATTATTAGAGCTGCAAAACACTTCAGACTGGTCCAAAGGTTTATGTTTCAACTCGGACACGACCTTAAACATATTCTCAAAGTGTATTTATGTAAAATTAATGTCCACAGAGTCTCCATCCAATCAGAGCTCAGGCTTTATGGTAAATAATTAGTTCCACCCTATAGATAGCAAAGCTGCTAGAGTCAGAATCCCTAAAGAATAATTACCTTTTTGTGTCCTTTTACAAAAAAAAAGGAATCCCAATAAAATATGATACAGTTTTTGGTTTTAATATGGAAAAGGTAAAAACGTCAAAGGTTGGAACACTGGATGACCTGACCCAATGGCAGCTTAGCATCAGCAGTGGCAGCCTCTACCAAACCCCTCCTCCTCCCCGGTGTCACTCGACGCTGCCGGCCTGGCTGCAGAGACCCATCCACCTGCTCACCGACTGATCCGTCTCCATCTTCGTGCTTTTATCCAATTTGGTCTCCGTAGCATGAGTGTGTTTCGATCCCTTAGACGTCCACAGAGCCATCCCATGCTTCAGCTAACAGTCCGTCTGACGATCAGTTTGATCTTATCAGTTGTCTTCATGAAGCTCGTTTTGAATGTTGCCTGTTTTGTGAGATGAGCTCCCAGCTGACCCTAGCTATGTTTGAGAGCCTCAACTGGTTATGTTGCTGTTCTGTGTCCTTTGTAGAGCATCTTCAAGTGATCACAAATCAATACAGCGTCTGATGTTTTTAAGTGCTTTCATTCTGCATGTCAGTGCAGACACATTGCTCATTAATGTAATTTATGCACCAATTTGTAATTGGATGGTTTTCACCTTCTAGAGCGACGACACGTACATGCAGCTGAAGAAAGACCTGGAATATCTGGACCTGAAGGTAAGATGGGACTTTTGATCTGCATCTGAGGTATTATCTAAAAAAAGCCTCATGCGACTAACACACTGGTCTTTTGTTATGGACACCCCCTCCCGCTCTACACCTAGCCCTGATCAGTCGACCTAGCGCAAACATCCCAACTGTAGCTCCCAAACATTGCAGATCTTTTTACTACGTTGACTGCTGTTAGAAGCATCTCACCAAAGCAGCCGCTGTTATGTGACTGCGGCTCTGTGTCTCTGTGATTTTTGACTCCAGATCAGAGCTCTAGAGCCGCTGATCCTCGCAGTTCACAGTTTACTACTGCACTGCACTGCTGGGCCTCTCAGGCCTTTAATGAACGTAAGCTCCGTTTGTATGTGCCTTCCTGTCTCTGTATCCAGTGAATGTCCTGAAGCAACAGCTATGGCATAGTGTGCCTGTTTATGTGTGTGCATTTCTGCTTGTGCATGTCTGTACGGTGGCGGGAACAGAGAGGCGCACGCGCAATCTCTGTGTACGTTACATTTAGAGTTTGCTAGGCTCTGTGCTCCAGGAAGGCCATCCCATCGCTTTGCAGCACTGCATTCGTGGCTTTAACAGCATCAGAAGCTTTTACATTGTGAGAAGTCCTCCCCTCCACCATGTGGCGATGTTGGTGAGGCTGCTGAATACTGGGATGGCTCGGCAGTGCATGTGTTGTGGCTGTGGCCCGGTGGTTGAAAAGCCAGCTGCTTCTACCATCGTCTCAGAAACGCTGCACCTCTATCACAATAATGCGTCTTGTTCACTCTATCTAGGATGATGATATCTAGAAACTCCTTTTTCAGCTGTTTTTTTTAATAACCATACTTTTAAAATGGACACATTCATTAAATAAAGTGGGGGTTATGTTGAGAGGTTTTGAGCAGTTTCAATCTTACCTGAAAGATCCCTTATTGTTCTTTTTGAAAGAATTCATTTAAAACAGAAAACCTTTATTCCTATAGCAGTTAGAACAAACACATTTACAGTTGCAATATTTATTAACTGAAGAGTGAGAAGCTAATATTGCAAGCTTAAAGGTCCATAGTCCTGTTATATGCTTGTGCCAAAAATACCTAAATCCATTAGATTATGATTAAAATATAATGCTCTATACTCCAACCGTCTGCCCTGATTAGGGCTAAAAGATTTTGCCAAAAATCTAAATTGCGATTTTTTTTTTTAACCAGAATTACAATATGCTGTTGAAGATTCTGAGTCATTCAGGTCAGTCTTTCCAAAAAAGTTAAAAAGCTTTTTCAATTCAAAATGTCTGGATTAGCTTTGAGTTCCAAGCTTTTTGGAATAGCCCATGAAAGCCTCTTATTATGGCTTAGAAAACATCCAAAGGAACAGGTCCACCCCTTAGTAATGAGGATTCCTTGTGATTTTTGTTGGCCTACAATAACCCATACTGACCCATGCCTCTGAAAAAGGAGTTGTTATGGTCATTGTTGGCCTGGCTGACCAGGCGAGGTGTTTTGATCCACTGCATGGTGATGGAAGGTGAAATGATTGCGGGAAGGAATCAACTCTGCTGCTGCATTGTAGGTTTTTGAGAGCCTCTTAAAAAGAGGGGGTGGTCTTAGGGGGTTGCAATTTTTCATCGATTTTCCTTTGCACTATCCCAAGCTTGTAGATGTTTCACTCCATAGTTTCAGTGTCAAGAGTCCATTATTGCAGAATTTTACTGTAACCTATGTGTGGAAAAAGTGCTCACTTCTACTTGCATGCATGGATCTACCTGCTAGCTGGAACTCTCTCTACCTTTCTGTGTGGCTACAAACCCACTTTAAGAGTTTTATCGCCCCCTAGAGGGCCGAAAGGAGAAATGTAATGTGGTTTGAAAATTTGGTTTTGTTTAATTGCGACTATATTACAAATGCATTAAATTGCCTTGCCCTAGTCCTGATAGTGTTTTGCTAATTCTTGTTGGCCTAAATAGAACCCCTGCACTGCGTGTGACTAGCTGACATAAACAGATGTGGCACCATCTTTTCGCAGTACCATTGAATTACAAGTTAGCCATTGAAGCAGTTACTAAATAAGTCATAGTTGAACGCACTGCACCAGTAGCACTATTACTGTAGCTAGGACATGTACTCATGATTCTTTCAAATTCACAGTGACATCTGATTGCTTCCTGACCTTTAGCTCCAGCTTTAGTGAATTCCCAATGGTTAGATGTTTTTCCAGGAAAAATCTAATTTTATCCCTCTTGGAATACAACATCTTTTTACTCCTTTTTAAACTTGATCTTGGATTTGTTTATGTATTTTATTTCTAATAATGCTTGCAGTGCAAAGCTCTGTTGCTTTGGCTTGTTGACCAGTTCTATGCATATGCAGGTACGTAACCCAGGTTTCATTTTGTTACGGTAAACAATATACAGAGAGGCTATATTTGCTAAGAAACTGAGCAAAAGATTAAACTTAAAACCCCAAAATAACAAATACTACGTCAGCAGGACGCTGTCATTTGTCATAAAAACATTGAATGCAACCAGAATGAGTTACCGGCGTGTAAATTTAAAGGCTGTCAAATAACGGGACTATGTGCCTTAAATTCGTCCGTCTTTCCGCAGAAGCAGCTAGCCTAGCTTCAGTTGAAAACAAAAAAGCTTTAAGCATTCTAAAAGTTTATAGACATTTATGTTCTGTGTTTCATATTAAAAGGCCACCAGAGATTTATGATAACAGCAAACAGTCATCAGCATAACTATGAGCATCAAACATGTCACTGGTTTAACAATCCAGGAGGTGTTGTTTTCCTAAACTGCTTTGACATTTCAAGTCTTCAGGTATAAAAACCTTGTGGAAGTCAGCTTTGTTCTTGGATCCTTTATGCCATGACTTTGACTAAACCGATGCAAGACTTTCCTAGTATCCATTGTCCTTTATCCTCACCAAGTTTGGGCAACACTGTTGCATTAAGTCGGACTGTTTAGGAATACAGAGGGGACCATAGCTGACTCTATGAATGAGAAGTGGGTGCTTCCAAACACTTCTTCAGTTTTTCATTTTCCTAATGCTATGAGCTTTAACCTAAGATAATACCTGAGGTCTATTGAGTCAGAGATGATGTTTTCTCTTTATTTATCGTAGCAATAGCCTGTTTCATATTTGGTTTACTGATATACCTTCACCTTAAAAGACTGAAGAAGCTCCATGAAATGCTTTCCATTTGTGAATAAACAGTAAGGGCCTTAACATCCTCGCCAGATTGTTGAACAGCCTCTGTTGTAGGGCCTATTTCCCCTCATAAGCATCATGATAAAACCCACCTGTGCTCTCCAGAGCCAGAACTCCTGCTTTAATAGAGATGGTCAAACATGCCAATGATTAATTTAGTAGCTACATTTATTTAGGAGCGCACTACGAGTTGCCTGGCGTTGGGGGCTTGACATTTCCATTCCATGTCGACGATCATGTGATGTAATTCTGCCAAGCTTGCTTCACCGGATCATCAGATAGGAGGAGTGTCTATCAGCTTGCAGGTGTTACACTCTGTGCCTCATGCGTCACTATGTGGGGTGGGGCGCAGAACAACACGAGGTGTAACATTAGTTCCTGTTGTCTGTTTAGCTATTGTGGCTGAGAACGAATCATGGCTCTGGGTGTTTAATGGAAAGCCGAACAATCCCACTTCACAACCACATCCAGTCCCTGATTGGTTAACAACCAATTGACGAAGAACTGACAAAGAACTCTAGATTGTTCAAGTGAAAATTCACTATGCATCAAAAAAGTCTACTTGCATTAATTCGGCATGCTCTCTTCATCTAGATTTGCCAAATAGTTCAAATTCGATTCTCGATTACAACATTGATTGATTAAGCAAAACATTTTTAGATATTCTATATTCGGTGCGGTCCCTGCATTCGTGTTTGGTGGGAATATACCTTATCTGATGGCAGCAGGAGGGAGTTCTGTTAACATGAACTGCTCAAAAACATTCAACAGAGCCTCACTTCAGAAGTTCAGCCGTCCTTTTAAAATAAGCCACAGAAAGAGTCCTCCTCTGTGTTTAAATGGACAACTACACTCAGAAGGTTTAGAGGGTTTATAGGTCAGCGATTTTGTGCAGAGCTTCAAAGTCTTCATAGCCACTGTGTTGTCAATGGCAATAGCTGGTTTTATGTGCTAGAAGTCACCCATGTTGTCATGTTCACAGGGCCCAGTGAATGTCTATGATAGTCTGCCCCCTGGCTTGTAATAGTTTACAGGTGCTCTCTGTGTTCTGTGCTACCTTTGTTTCAGCGCTAATGTACCAAGGAGACAGACTCGTCGTTTCAGCAAACATCTAACATCTGGAACTGTTTTATGTTGAAATTTCCAGGTAGCTGGAAGTCAGACACTGAAGGAGGCGGGGAAACCTGTCAAGGTTGCAGAAAGCGATGTGGATGTAAGTGTCAGACCTATATATGGTAACCCTTTTAGCTGGAATTAAAACCAAAGGCTACTTTAGACAGGCTGTCAATTTATCAAACATCTTAACCAACATTATATGGACTGTCTGATATGTTTAACAATTCATGCAATCATAAGTGTGTGTCTAAAAGGGAAATACTTGAAGCTCTAAACTTTATTTCCTGTCCTGTTGGTCCTTCTTTCCCTAAATCCCAACATTGATTGATATCTATGCAATAAATTCCTGCTTAACTTTTAAACCTTAAAATATAAATAGAAGAAGTGAACTAATAACTTTGTGGTTAAAAATGAAAAAGTGGATTTTAAGTACTGGACCAAGGAATACGTCTGGACTGATATTGAAAGGTAACTATTTGATAAAGATGATTATTTTGCCTGTTGGCCAAATAAAGCTTTAAATAAAAATGTCTTCTGATGTCCAGTTAGAGGGGAAAAAAACAAGAGCAAAAGAGATTGTTTAACTGTTTTTATCGATGCACCTAATCCCGGCTGCAGCTTGAAATTATGTTTGGGTTTATCTTCCATTTGTATAAAGTACAGTAAACACAGCAACCTGACCATCATCCTCTGCTGCCCATAAACACAGGGGATTGAAAGTTCAAAATAACTCAGTTTAAACCAAATATAAATGGCACTACAGCTTTCTGCGTGTGATTACCCCCCCAAAAAAAACAAAAAACAAAAAATTAAACAAAAAATAGTAGAAATGCATAAAAATATAACCATAAAATGATCAGTTATGTAAAACAAGCCATGCTACCCTCATGTCTTGGGTCAATGGGAAGAAAATAGGCCTCATGATCTTTGGATCTGATCATTTAAACAATTCAAATAAGGCAGGTTCAATTGCATTTGCACAAAAAAAAATAAATTTCACGTGCAATTGGTTGTCGATGTTGCGAGTTATCTACAGAGATTGACTAATGGTGGGGGCGTGCAAAGAGGCTCAGTTCTGCCCCTCTAGAATAAGTAAACTACTGTGTGAGAGCGGGGGAAATAGAGAGTTCTTACCTGAGATAATAATGATAATTATTAAAAGCTGATAATGATGATTAATTATTTTTAGTGCACTTCATTTACTAATGTCTCAAATTGCTTTTGATTTTCCCAATTCATTAACAAAGACCACTATGCTCTAATACTCTCACTTTATTCCCATTTATTTTTATTTAGCCAATGCCTCTACCTAATGACATGAAATCAGAATAAAATACATAAAAGTTTGTGGTTGTGGTATGACCAATACAAACATCTTTGTATTAACCAATGAAAGATATGCTATATATTAAACAACAATTAATGTTTTCATCTTTGACAGCCTTGATTTAATAAATTTAAAGTGATAATAGTTAATAAAAGTTGTCAGGGACAGTGTGGCAGAATTGTTTTAATTGTTTCCCCACAGCTTTTGTCAGAGTCTCAACCGGTTCTGAATATTTCTGTGAAAGAAATCGATTACAAAATCAGATCCAAGAAAGCATCACAACAATATGGGATAAATCATGTATTAGATCAAGAAGTGAACTCAGATCAAGCTGTTCTGTTTTCATTCTTGGGACTGAACTTAGCTTTGTGGCTTTTTAATTGAAGACCAGTTTTAGACCAGCTACTGAGGATCTTTAATGATTCTAATAAAAGGATTTTGGCTCCCTCCACCCAGCTAACATACAGTTTGTAACTGCAGACAACAGAAAAAGTTCAATAACTCTCATATTGCATTAAAAGGGGCTCTCTGTTCATGTCCTCGCCCTCTGCTCTGTATGAAGTCCCTGCAGCGGCTGACATCAGGTTTCAATTAAGTAAAAGGCCCACTTAATTAATAGAGGTCAGAGCACAGTCACTCTGATTAGCTCTTAAGAGGTGTTTCATCTGGGTGAGCATAGCCTTTTCTTTTTCCTTGATCATTGTTGTTTGCCCTTGCTTATTCAGCTCTATGTCTCTCCCTACAGGTGAAGTTGAGTCGATTATGTGAACAGGATAAAATCCTGAAGGATCTGGAGATGAGGATCAGCACCCTGAAGAACGACAAGGTAACCAAGCACAGCGCTTATGAATGATGCAGTAAAAGCTAAAGCATCATCTAAATCTGACAAGATGGAGCCACAGTCACCTAGAGGTACATGCTTCTACCTCAGAGTGGTTTGGCTTCTATTGGCTGAATATTTTCCCACTAAATAAGATTTTTTTTAATATAAAAATAGAGGAATGAACATTTATTCCCTTGTCAAACATCGTTCATTATTTAATGCCCCAAGTTAGTCCTAGCCACTCCACAGGTGTAGTCCTGATGAGATGTTGAAGTGACTCTGCATGGTTTCAAAGTGAAGTGCTGCCCTCTAGAGACCGTTAAATAAGCCATGGACTGCTGGTTCTCAAACCTTTCCAGCTCCTTCTTTAGAGGATGATTTCTTTCCCAGTCCTCTTCAACTCTGGAAGACTGGACAATAAGTTAATTCATAAAAAACAACAACAGTTTTTTGTGTACAATTATTAAAAATGAATCAGAATATAATAGTCAATTAAACACATGGTCAGTTTAGTAGACAGTGTTCTTTATCCGTTTGATCTATTTTTGTGTTTTGCATGAAAATTGCGGTCGGTGTCACTACTGGTACCATGAGCTGATATCTGGACACTACAAGGATGGAACAAGCTGAATTTTACAAACTACTAAGAAAACATTTAGTGTGTCTCCTAGCATAGACTTGAGAAGGAAATTCCTCGAAGAAGTTAGTCTAGGAGAGCCGGACATGGCTATCACATGCCTTTCACCCATCAGGCGGACTGATATCTGCTCATTTGTGCAAGGAGGAACAGGATGGGTACTTCCAGGGCCTTACAAAGATACCTTCAGCAGCTCAATTGTTTAAATGTCTCTGAGAAAGCCCTTAAAAACAGATATAGATCTTTCTCGGGTGCAGTGAGTCCTGTGGGTTCATCCTGGAGTGTGCAATGCCGGTTCTCATCCAGCAGGATTAAGCAGGCAGTGCCTTGAGGATTCGTTCTTTATTGAGGCATATTACTATTATACTTCTTGCTACGTCTCTATTTCTTGCTGAGTCAAACAGCGTGAAACATATTGTCTACTGAATATTTCTATCTTCTTTTTCAAATAAAGAAACAAGCAGGGAAAATTGCTGGACTGTAACGACAGATAAAGGCTACTGCTCCATCTGCTCCATCAATTATTCAGAAACAGAATAAAACCTATTTTCTTATAAGAACTGTAAATGCAATATATTCAAAGTGCAATGAAGTGACTGTAGTGGCTAAATATCTCACTATCCAAGTTTGCATGCAATGCTTAGAATGCATCAGTATGTATTAAAGATCATATCAGTCTTATTAAATAGAATAGTATTAGGAGTCCATTATCAGCATGTGTTCAGGCCCATCCTTCTGAGTCAGAGTGTTTTAATGACACACTGAGCACTGGTGATGAATACATTATTTCTACCCAGACAGAAGGCAAAACCTTCCCATGTCAGGAAATACTTTTCTATTAAGGAAATAAACTATTCTTGCACTGCTTGTCTATATCACCATGAAAGTGCTGTTTTTATTTATTTTTTTTTTAGCATATACCAATTAAAAAGATCAACATTTAAAGAATATAAAATAATATTACTACATGCACAAATTAATAATTGTCATGGGGGATCATGTGCCACTGACAAGAATTCAGTCTTTCCTGTAGAGTTAAGGAAATTAAGCTCTTGGGAGTGATGATTGACAATAAGATTTGCTGGAGACCTCACATAAAATTATTTCAAACTACAATTTCCAGAAGTATTGCTATTCTCAGCAAAGCTAAACATTTCCTAAATTATGCTGCACTTCATATTCTGTAGCCTATTAGCGCACTTATATTACTTATATATAGTTAATGTGTAGAAATATGAAGCAACACCTATAAAAACTCTCTGCGACCGTTATGCACATTACAAAAAAAGGCCATCAGAAGGGCTCCTAAGGCATTATTCCACGATCATACTAACATACTATTTATAGAGTCCTGCCTCTTCTAACTCCCAGATCTGGTAGAATTTCAAACCCCTCAGTTTATGTATAAAGCTATAAATAAACAACTACCAGGGAAATTCAAAAGCTGTTTTCTTATAGAGTGGGGGGGCTATGACTACAGGGAAAACCTTAACTTCAGAACCTTGAGGGTTGGAACCACCATGAAGAGAATGTGCATTTCATGTCCAAGCACGAGTCTGTTTAAAAAAAGGCTCAAACTGATGTTTTTCAACATGTGATGAGGAGGTGATGTTAATGTCGCTGTAGGTTGCAGATGGGACTGGTTGGGGTAGCAGGGGGAGGGACTGTGGTGTTGGGATGTGGCACTGATAATTGGGGGGTTTTGATGGTTCGCAATATTCTGAGTGCTGATGTACAGGTTTTTAAATGTGGATTTTGGCCTAATGTGTTTATGTAGGTATGTATATGTTCATTTACAGGTATGTACAGTGGGTACTGGTTGGAAATGGACGGTTTCCTGCATGATTCCTGTGTGATTCCCACGTGAATCACAATGTATTTCCTGAGGCCAGTTTTTTTATTTCAAAAAGAACTGCAATGTACCCGGACAACCACCAGGTGGCGCTTGGGACCTCTGCCGTGCTGAGGGTGACGTTTGTGGGCCTGCAGTCAACTGAAAAGCAGGTTTATTGGGGATCTTGGTGTGATACTGTGCTATTTTATTTTGTTTTTGATTAAAATAAAGTTAATGAATTAATTTAACATAGTGACTGCATAATCTTATTTTATGAAAATGGTTGCGTAGTTATAGATACACCTCCGATCTTATCTGAGATCTGTTTATTTCTATTTATTTGCATCTCTATTTTTTAATGAAAAATAAAATTAATTAAGTTGGAACCGGGGATACGGACTGAGGCGCAACCAGAGAAAGGCGACAGAGACAGTGCTGCGGCTGGTGATGTTGAAATTAAAATCATATCCAAAGTTGATTCCTCATTAAGATAAGCCAAAGTTATTCAACAGGGTATGTAAGAAAATATATTTTCTTTAGTTTTGTAAAATATAAGTGCCGTAGCGTCGCTGCATTATTTATCAAGTAACTTTCCAGTAGTGACGTTATTTTTTTTATCAAGTAGCAACATAGCGTCCACAAACGCTACAACATCCAGGGCAAAACTAAGTAATGAAACCAGGTTTTCTATTTTTGAAACAACAATTGGAGTTATTCGTTGGACATTCACGCATGAGCCTCCCATGTATAAAAAGAGGAGCTGAGCAGCTCCTTTAGTCAGAGACTTACAGTAGACACCCTGTCTGTAAGAAGGAGCGCTACCGCAGGTCATTCGTTCCTGCTGCCACCAGACTCTATAATAATGCACTATATCAACAATAACTCCTGTAAAAACCACTGTGCAGCTACATTATAGTTTTGTATTTATTGACTGTGAACAATATGCTGTGCAATATGTTGAATGTGCAATATTTCTCCTCCTGTATATAAGCCATCCGTATTGCACATATCGTTATTTCTTTTTTTTTTATTTCCTATTGTTTTGTTTTTCATTGTGTGTGATACATGTACACATGCACCTTAATCCTATTTATCTTGATATACTGTATATACCTGGATATACTGTATATATATTGCTTATTCTTAATGCACCTTTTTCCTCCCTGTTTGCACCTTCTGTAACTTCTATGCCAATATGTGACGAGTGAATTTCTCCGCTGTGAGATCAATAAAGCTCATCTAATCACATCTAATCCAATCTATATAAATAAATAAATATATACATGTTCAATAAATAAATAAGCTTTCAATTAATTACCCCCAATAAATGGTGAAATGATATGTTCTCATAATAAATCATTTATTTAAAAAATGCTGTTATGTTCCTTTTTTGTAAAATTGCTTTTAAAATGCTTAACTATTTTTATTCTTTTATTTTCTTTCATAAAATCACTAGATTTTAAAAACACTCATAGGTTTTGAAAGGTATTATATATATATATATATATAGAGAGAAACTAAAACGCTCTGATCTTTCTGTCATTTTGTGTACGTGTGAAGCATCTGCAATGTTTTCGTTAAATATTCAAATAAATAAGATGGACTTTAAACTAGCAGACACGTTTGGATTTTTGGCATTTAATTTTTTTATTTAATTTTAAAAACGAAAGAAATGGAAATGGGGTTTTTATGTCATGATCTTGGCGCTGATGGTTTGGTTTTTTCCTCTGCTACTTGCTCCCTGTCTAATTGGTTCTGCGGTTCTAAGTTGTGTGTTTGCCTCCCATCAGCGCCAGGTTATTCGTGTGTTTTGGTGAGACATTTCCTAGCTTTCTTTAGTCTCTCTGCTTCCCTGATTATGACCAGTTTTCTGTCCTGTGGTTCAGCGGCGTCTGCTGCTCGCCCTCTACAAACTCTGGGGGTGTGGCCGCCGCAACTGCAGTCAAATCTCCCTTCTGGATTCTGCTGAGTTTCTCCGCGAATGAACTGAACTTTGAATCAAGTCAGTGACTTTGCTCCAAGTCGCATTCAGCTCCACATCCAGTCTCTGGCCTGTATTCTCCTATCCATGCAGAGATCAGCCCCGCAGCAGACGAGCAGCCCCGCGCACCTGTTTTGATTAATAAACGCTTTGGACTTTCACACTGCCTGTCTCGCCTTGAATTCTGGGTCCAATATTCTGAGATCATTACAGAATAACCTGGCAGTGGCGAAATGATGTGGATCAAAGTATTTCCCGGCTAGAATCAGGCATGCAGGAGATCCTTGATTATTAATCAGGCTGCTCCAGCTGCCCCGCCCCTGACAGCTGCCGCGCCGTCGTCTGCTACTGATAGTCCAGCTTCTCTTGAACCGCGTCTGTAGAGCCTTCCTGACTCAGTGCGAAATTCATTTTGAATTACAGCCCTCTGCGTTTCCTTCTGATCGAGCCAAGGTGGCCTATGTATCTCTCTGTTAGCGGGAAAGGCCAAATTATGGGGAACGTCAGAGTGGTTGAATAATCCTGAACTCTGCAGCTCTTATAATAATTTT